CTGGGAGAAATTCCCTTCTCTTTTCGAATAGTGCCGTGGGATCTTTAGTGTCCACCTGAAACAGGGAGACGGTCTCATTCAAAAGACATTGCGCCTCTGACAATGCAGTGGAGGCTCCACCAGCCTAACTAGTGAATTCAAAGTCAAGATGTGGGGCTTTTTTATAAATTTTCTTAACCTTTTATAATCTGTGATCTGAGAGTAGGTCATTTTGAATCGTCTGTGTTTTAGGTCAACTTAACTCACAAATCAGTGGAAGAACAGTGAGTAATAATTGGCTGTTCTTAACAGCAGAATTCTAGTCCAGAACCAGGTCCAGAAGCAGGACACAGTGTGCTGTAAATCTGATTGAATGTTGAAGCTGGGAAACACATTAAATTCTGTCATTGTTTTAGACAAAACTTTCAATTCTTGATGAGATTGAATTGTACTATCGACTTCAAGATCCTCACCCTTGTCTTCAAATCTTTCCACTTCTCTGCATCTCCCTACCTCTCTGACCTCCTCTCTCCTCAAAACAGTGCCCTTTGCCTTTGTTCCACCGGGTCTGGCCTCCTCCCCAAGTCCTCCGGCCATCCTCAGCGGCTGTGCCTTCAGCCACTACACCCCGAGGCTCTTGAACTCCCTTCCTCACTCCCTTCACCTCACTCCCTCTCTTCCTATTTTCAGGTCTTGGCTGAAGACCTTTCTTTTCGTCCGCACCTTTGGTCACCTTCCTCCCCCTCCCCCCTGGCTCAGCCCCGGGATCCATTACTGTGAAGCGCTCTGAGACCCCATCCAGCATGGAGGGCGCTATATAAATCCAAATTGTTGTTGTTGTTGTACTACTCGTGGCTGCGTTACACTACACTTACATCTCAACAACAACAACAACAACAAGATTCCATTTATAAAGCGCCTTTCACGTCAGGAGGACGTCCCAAGGCGCTGACTATCTCAGATAGTCTTCAGGAGCTGAATGGCTATTAAGCCATTAAGCTCTTCCTGAAGATTGTCATGAATGCTCCAGGCCGCAATGCAATGTGACTTGCATTGCCTCCTCTTCCCCTACAGCCCACAGCAAATCTACTGCTCTGTGCAAGTCCAGACCTATTCATTTATGCCTTCCGTGGCTATGAAGTGTAGTTAGAACTGAAACCAGTATTGTTTGGTGAAGCAATCAAAGGAATGCTGTTAAATGGCAGCATTCATAGAGGGGTTGATTCTGCCTTGCTACCTTGAGCCATCTCAAGATTTCAGCACAATGTGGCAGATTTGGCCATAAGTTGTGTGTTGTTTGGAGTAAGAGATTTTATACCTACACAATGTTTTTGTACTCAGAAGCTGGTTCAGCAGTTGAGTCCAGGAGTAACGCAACACACCCTCTGTGTTCCCCAAATATTGGGGAGTTCTGTGGCTTAGTGGTTAGAGTAATCGCCTCGCAAGTGAGAGGACATGGGGCATGGGTTCAATTCCTGGGCAGGGAGAAATGATGGGCAAGCTTCCTTCCTCCTCACACTTCTGTTTACCTAGCAGTAAGTAGGAACCCAGTTGTTATTTTCTTTTCCAGGGATAATAATTCCTCTAAAATATATTTTTNAAATATTTTGGTCACTCAATCCACGACTGTTTGTGGGACACTGCTGTGCGCAATTGACTGCAGTGTTTCGCCCACAAAATATACCAATTCACTTTACAGAATATTCTGTGAGCGCTTTGAGACATCTTGAAGACATGATAAGGTGCTATATCAAATGCAAGGATTATCTTTCACCAACCTGCACCTAGCACTCTCCAGAATTAGGATGGATCAATTCAGGGAGAAGAATGTGCATTTCACCCTAACACAGGGGCAGTTCGATTTGTAGATGGCAAACATATGTTTGGTTTGGATAATGTTAAGCATGGAGATGGGATTCCACATTGGTCAGACACCCAGCTGATCAAATAAAATAGTATTCAGACTACCCAACTTTGTTCTCACAGTGCTGGGACCAATTTCCTTGTTGAAACCTCACATTAAAGAGAAATTCAATTACCCGTCTGACTTCAGCACATCCTTTTGTGAATATACAAGGCATTGATTTCCTCGTTAGTTACAAGGTCATTAAAGTTCATCCACCCACATCCTGTTTTATGGACAGTTCATCTTGAAAACTGTCACACGTCCCCTGAATTTCCTTATGAGAGATAATGGCACTTGTGGCCACAAACAAACCAGTAAAGTCATTATTGGAACTAAAATAAGCATTTTATTCATGCATAGATCAGAACAAACTATCACCAAATAAAAAAAGGTGTATTTTTCCATTTGATCCTGGTATCTCCATACAAACAGTTCTACTGAAGAGGCTGCTGCCTTCAATTAGCTTATTTACTTACCAATGACTATTTTCCATTCCGTCTTTACTGGACTTACTTGGCTCTCCCCAAGTGAGGTGCAGCCTCACGGCTTTGCTACTGTACAGAAAACATTTACTTTTAATTTTGATATATTGGATTTTTTTTACATGCAACAAAGAGCTATAATATTTTGCAATATAAAGTACAGTACACTGGTTATAAAATCCATCAGCATAATAACCTTACAGAATTAGGAAATAGAATAGAAACAGGAAATGCATTTTAATTGTGTTAAAGTGCTGCATGTAGTAATTCTTCACATTTCATTTTTAACTCTTAGAAATAGCCTTCGACTTCCAGGTTTTTGCCTTTTCAAATCCGTTTTTACCAGTTCGGTAGTCCTCTAAAACCTGTGTAATTTCTTCCTCAGAAGTCATCACAAATGGACCTTATGGGAGAAAAACACTGTCAATCTATTTGATCTTATACTGTATTTAGTTTATTATATAAACTGTGATCCCAATTCATACTCAAGTTTGGAAAAAGTTATATGGAAATACAGCTGTATCACTATACATATTCTTTAATATACACAGTATATTACATCATTCCCTTCTACCACTGCCCATCCCAGACAATTTGGAGAATTGCAAGTATGTACCTGTGTCTGACTTCTCTCATTGTCGAGTTAGCACTCCGGAATATGTGAGCTGAACTAACTTGCCTTTTGAACATTTGTCATTAAGATAATAATAATGAAAAAATCCTTGCATTTGATATAACCCCTAATCACATCTTTGAGAAGAACAGAATATACTGTAAAGTGAATTGACTGTGTATTTTGTGGGTGAAACGTGGCAGCCAATTGCACACAGCAGTTTCCCACAAACAGTCGTGAATGAGTGACCAAATTATTATTATTTAAAATTTTTATTTTAATATGTTTTTTAAGGGAATATTATCCCCAGAAAGTAATCCGTCAACTGACTAACAACCGGGACCCTACTTACTGCTAGGTAAACAGAGATGCGTGGAGTAAGGAAACTTGCCTCTATCTTGCGAGGCGACTGATCTGGTTGGTTTGCATATAATGAAACGACTGGGAAGATGGTTCTAGTAAGCACAGGTACGATGGGACAGGTAAGGTTGGATGAATGGACACTTTAATGTGCAAAAATTTCTATGATTCTACAAAATCAATAAACATGTCACAAAAACAGAAGTCGCTGGGAACACTCAGCAGGTCAGGCAGCATCTATGGAGAAAGGAAAGTCAGTCAACTTTTCGGGACCACTACCCTTTGTCAGAATAGACGAAAGGTCTGGACGGCCACTTCTGTTTTTGTTTCTGATTTCCATCATCTGCAGTATTTTGTGTTTTGGCAATAAACATGTCATCCTGATCCAGTTCATATCGGGAATCTTTGCAGAATTAACTTATCATGTTTGGAGACTGGCATTCAGTGTGATAATAAAGCATTTGAATAGATTTTAAAAAATTCCACCATAACAAGTGTACATAGGATTTATTATCACACCTGATATAAATCCTGAAATAAAGCAACTGTGCTTCAATAAAGTTTTCTCCACAGATTTGGCTAGTCATTTCATTAGGATCTTTCTCATGAGACCAAGTGTTCCTTCTAGAAGCAACCACTTTATTTTCAATATTGTACATGATTATTTGTTAGCACTCTTGGCTCTGAGTTAGAGGTTGTGGGTTCAAACCCCACATCAGGACTTTGAATTCACAGTCTAGGCTGACACTCCAATACAGTGCCCGAGGAATACTGTATTATTGGAGTTGCAAAGAAAGGGAGAAAGAGGGGAGAAATAGGGAGAAAATTGGGGTAAAACATCAAATTAGATGCAGCTTACTGTTTAATATAGTTCAGACACAGGCGTCAATTACATTTTTCTCTGTCCTAGTTACTGTAAAATAAGGAGTTGACATGCAACATTAATTTAAGAAAAGTGCATGGATACTGAGGGCAACGCAATACTTGTACAATAGCGTAGGTATGATTACACAGCCTCAAGTCATAGAAGAGACAAACCTGTGAAGGTGCCGACAGCAGGAGACAATCTTCTTAACCCCACACCCTTTACTTACGGTGCGCAATTGGCTGCCGTGTATCACCCATAAAATTCACTTTACGGTATATTTTGTGAAGCACTTTGAGACGACTCAACAACGTGATAAGGCGCTACATCAAATGCAATGATTATTATTGTTAATATTATTAAAATGTCAGCTCTCTTCTATCTTTGTGCTCTGTGGAAATGATACCAATAGTCACTGTTAGCATTTAGGGCCAGGAGTCATAAATACACACAGCAGAAAACTATTGTGGAGCATAGTGCTGTATTTTGTGCTTGTGACTCTGCCTTGGGACGACCTCCTGTCGTGAAAGGCACTATACAAATGTAATTTTGTTGTTGTTGTTGCTCAGGTCACCTCAATTTAATTCCAAACAGTAGGGTAACTGGCAGCTGAAGGCAGGTGTTAAACAGTTGTTTTCAACAGAGGTGTAACACAACTTTGATCAAAGAATTGTTTGAAGCCACCAAGGTATTTTACAGTGCCCTCAGGTATATACTCACCATGCTTTACAATTGGCTCATTGATAGGTTTACCAGCAATCAACACAAAGTGAGCGACTTCACTATCCTAAAAAGAAAGGAGAATTGAGCAGCTGGCATAAAGTATCCCTCCCTAAAATATAGTTGTGAATGTTGGTTTAGAAGAATTTGGAGCATCTTGCACACACAAGGGAGATTGGAAGCAAGGGAAAAGAAGAGGAGATGAGTAGGGTTGGAGGATCATGTGGAGTATCAACACTGGTTTGGCCGAATGGTCTGCTTCTGTGCTCTAAATTTCAGTGTAATTCTATTTAATTTGTACAACTACAGGAGAATTGAGGATCCTGATCACTATATCGAGACTCTGGTGGAAGGTGCATGTTTATGGATATTCGATGAGGCAGTACGGAACTCAGCTCTGTGAGATTGATTTGCTCTGTGATTTTTTTTAATTGTAGATTATAAACGTTCAGGAGAAAAAAATCCATCAATTTTCCTCCTCTCCTGAGAGGAGAAGGACTTTGGAGAGGAGAGGATTTTTTTTGAGGAGGGAAGTGACTGAAGGCTTTCTCATCGACAGTAGAAAAGGGCATTCAGGAGGCCAGAGTTGGCAGAGCGGTGGGAGTGACTGGAGGACTACAGTTGCAGGAGATCATAGAGGTGGGACAAGAACGAGGAGCCATGTCAAGGTAAGGATAAGGATCTTAACATCGATCTGCTAGTGGAGCTGGGCAAGGATGGGCGTGACGAATAATTTCTTAAATTATTATTAATCTGATATTCTATTAAGCAAGACACAAAGGCAACAACAAAGTAAATGTAACTAAAATTGAAGCCAAACCTTATTTTCCATTTGGACATTTTCTCCATCATCAAATACAACCGTGTAGTGAGGCTCAACTTTTCTTTGATCATCGTCTGGACCTGTAAATAACAGATTTCCTTTATTTTCCATCAATTTCTTCTCCTCTCTCCTCCCCTCCTTTTGCATGTTTCTTTTTCCTTCTAAAGCAGTATGATTCCACAGGGACTAGTTGCCCTCTGAAACTTCACACAAGTGGCCATTTTTCAAATGTGAACTTCAATAGTGAGAGTTGGTAGACTATATTAGACAGTGAATATACTGAGTACTGAACTCAGAGCTGAGTTCAGTACTGCCTCATCGAATATCCATAAACATGCACCTTCCACCAGAGTCTCGATATAGTGATCAGGATCCTCAATTTTCCTCTTCCTCGTCCAAGGGCATCCCGACTGCAGAGATGAGCTAACTCAACAAAATCTGCAAATGTCTTCTCCTCTCTCTTCCTCTGCTGAAGGCATTTGTCTCTTTTTCTTTCTGTATGGCCTAGTATTGCAACAAGTTGTAGCTTTACCCACAGTGCCTTAAGGGAATAATAGATTTTCAAAAGATCTCAAGAGATTATGAAGGCACTTCAGTCTAATTGGTCTCATCCTTTGAGAATACCAATCCTTCAAATTACAGCATTAAACTATTAAAGATACAGACATCTACCACCTTTCCCAGTAACCCGTTTCAGCCCTTTCTTGAAAAATATTTCCCGGTGTCTTTCATAAAAGTGACATTTACAAATCCAGTTTCAAAATTACATTTCCCATCCCAATCATTTTCTTGGAGTCTCTATTAAATTAACAAATCTATTATTACATAAGCAATTGTGCCTTGGGACGTCCTCCCGACATGAAAGGCACTATACAAATGTAATTTTGTTGTATTTTGTTGTTGTTGCTGGTTCAATGTAATTTATTTCCCAAAGTGTAAGAAGGAAGAATCCTGAGTAAAATTGTCTCCAAACAAAGGTAAATACTATAAGGTCAACTGCAGAATTGTCACTGGGATTGAAATATCTTTGCTAGAGTCATTAGATCCGAGATGATTTAGGAATAACTTTTCATTATTTAGCATGGAATACTGCTGCTGAAGGCAAACTCATTCTTTTCACATCTCTGCAGCTTTTCCCCCTGCCCTTTCTGGAAAATCTCTAAACTGTAATTCCCATGACAATCCCAAATTGTATCCTAGATGTGTTTTGTTGCCTGCTCAGGATTATATGATTGGCACAAAGTAACAACAGTTCTTAAGACAGCCTGGAAAATAACTTTCTTTACGATGTAATTAGATGCATCATTTGAATGATCTCATCTGGTTTTAACATGATTTGAAAAACAAAACAGCAGACAGCAGACGTGGCATAATTCATTATATCGTTATCTTCTATTTTATCTTTAATGTTCGCCCCTCCACTCTTCCTCTTTTTGACTCCTTGTTTTCTTGCCCTGGGGTAAGCATGGTTCAACTGTTGCCTTTAATACCTTATTGAAGAAAACCTTACCCATAAGTGAGCCTTGATAGTGAGTATTGGCAGGCTCTTCTATAGCTGAACTTGGTTTTGTACACACCCATACCTTCCAGCAATGTCTCTAGATAGTGATTAGAAGTGGAAGTCAAATGTAGTGCCTTGGTTGAGGCTGAGTTAACTCAGCAAAGATAGTTTTGGTTTTGAACCTGCAAACTTCAGACCTCTGTGGCCTAATGCTGCACCAGATAGTGCTTTTACCCTCTAAACCATTGCAAGAACAAATTCAACATTTTTAAAAAAAGAACACTTTGATCTCTTCATTTTCATTCTGTTCAGCACTTTATATCCCCCTAACTTTGGGTACTTTGGGCATCTTATGACCACAATCACTGGATCTAGAAGTAAAAGGCTAACTGGTGGTACAATCCAAATAGGGCAAGATGTTTATCCTTCCACATGGGACAGAATGGCTCTCTGACCTGAATTACTGTGTTGATCCATTTGTCAATCTTGCTGATAGTAATGAAAATCCTCCATCCCAAGGACCTCAAACTAGCAACCCTCTGATTTAGAACCAAGAACTGTTTGACTTGTGCCATACAAGTTGCTAATGCTAACTATTTATAAATTTTGCTGTAACCAGTCAATTACAACTTCTTTGCATAAAATGGATTTAGAAATCAGCAGTAAAACATAAAGCATTTTATCGAAGTAAACTTCCTATTCTAAACAAGTGGAGTCGTGGAATTCTGTAGCTTAATGGTTAGAGCACTCGCCTCGCAAGCGAGAGGACCTGGGTTCAATTCCTGGGCAGGGCGAAATGTTGGGCAAGTTTCCTGACTCCATACGGTTCCGTTTACCTAGCATTAAGTAAGAACCCAGTTGTTAGTCGATTGGCAGATTGCTTTTCCGAGGGTAATCATTCTTCCAAAAATATAAATAATAATAACAAAAAATAGAAATAATTTGATCAATCAGTCCACAAATGTTTGTGGGAAACTGCTGTGTGCAATTGACTGCTGTGTTTCGTCCACAAAATATAGTCAATTCACTTTACATTATATTCTGTGAAGCACTTTGAGAGGTCTCGAAGACGTGATAAAATGCAAGGATTATTATTATTGTTATAAGTAGTGAAAAGTTTGCTATTTTAAAATGATTGGGGCATGAAAGGCTCGAATTGGATTATTTTCTGCAAAGAGTTTGTCTACAAATACACAGTCACTAAACTTGACAGCAATTCTCTACAAAGCATTCTGAGGCATTTCGATATCCTTTGTGTTGTATAAAATGCAAGGAATATTAATATAATAATATAATAATAATAATCCTTGCATTTGATATAGCGCTTTTCACGTCGGGAGGACGTCCCAAAGTGCTTCACAGAACACACTGTAAAGTGAATTGACTGTATATTTGTGGACGAACGCGGCAGCCAATTGCGCACAGCAATGTCCCACAAACAGTCGTAGATTGAAAATGACCAATTTATTATTGTTTTTGGTTTTTGGAGGGATTATTATTAGGCGTGTGGAGTAAGGAAACTTGCCCAAGATTTCGCCCTGCCTGGAATTGAACTCAGGTCTCTCGCTTGCAAAGCGAGTGCTCTAACCACTGAGCTACAGGACTCCAGGAGTATCAGGAGTACAATTATAAAAAAATGCATTTTAAATCACCAAAGATGAGCTAAGTTGTGAGTTTTCTCAGTCAGTTTGTAAAATGTATTTTATTGTTTCTCCAGTAGAAAATATATAAATAACAGAATGCCAATGGGGAGAACACAGGAAACATTTGGTAAGTGTTCTTTATTTACTGCAACACTATATTTAGTTGTATCATTATACACAGCACAGTAGTCATATGAAATCATCATCTATTGTAATCCAGCACAGGCAGAAAATAGACATTGTCAGAAGCTGACAAAACTCAGTTCAATTCCTCTAATTTCATCCATGAAAAAATTGGGGAAAAAACTTAAAAGATTATTAATAAAATTAAAATCTCAAATTAACTTTATGGAATGTCACAGGGAAAACAAAGTCACTAAAATAGACTCCTCGGGGGGAAAAAATACATCTAAAAATGTTATTTTCCACTGAACATAAAGGAAGGCTTATACTGAAGAGGAATGTTGACAAGCTAGTCAAACAAAGCCTGCCTATTTCACATCTGCCCTGCACACCAATAAAAAGGTCAACCCCCATTCCCCTCGCATGCATATTTAGGGATTTTACAAAGCAATACTTCCTTACCAAGGTAGACAGTTCCTGCGAGTGTATAAATAAATGCTGTCCATCCTGAAAGAGATTAAACCAGTTGAAGTTAAGCATGAGCTGATCTGAGGGTGTTAACTGTTTTTGTTTTGGGTACAGCTGTGAACATTTTAAATATTCTAGAGAGACTATTCCATCAAGAAAAAAAATAGGAACAAACCAATTAACAGCAGGTCACACTGGTGCTCAAAATGTGGTATCTGAAATAGAAATCACAAATAAACTTTGCCAGTGACTGAAAATGCATCCTGCACATCCGCAGGAATTATGTTCTGGAAATAGATCTCGTCGGAACAGAGTTCCCGTGGGTTGGTGAAATACATTTCTGGTTGTCGTCAGGGGCTATTTCTGATTCCTGTTACAAATATTGGGTTTTAGATTTCAATATGGCTTATGAAACAGCTGATAGGAAAAACAACCCATCAGTTTAAGCAACATATCAACTAGGCTGTTTACTATGGGAGTTATGTGATTATGTGATGAGTTCAAAACATTATGCAAAAGTCTGGAAAATAATTTTTACAAATCTGCCTGGATATAAAAGACAATGATTCGGGTATGGTTGCCTGTCCTCACTCAATGCCAAATATACAAATGCTAAGAACAATCACTGAGATCATACAACCAAACTTCTCAGTTTTGAATAATGCTGAGGGCTCTTTAAAATACACCTGAACAAGTAGGTGGGACCTAGATTTAACATTTCATACTAAGGTCAGCACCTCTGACTATGCAACGTTTTCCCAGTATTGCACTGAAGTTTCAGCCTGGATTGTGAGCTCTAAAATATTTAACTTTATAGCTGTTTGTAGGACATTATTGTGTGCAAATTTCCTGTCATATTTACCTACAAATTCACAGTCACTACACTTTACAGAAAACTGTGTGAAGCACTTTTTAAGATGTTTAAATGTGAAGAGGCACTGCATCAAATGCACAGATTATTATTTTCCTTTATTTTTCAACAATGTCTACATCATGTTAAAAGTATTTAAATTGCACAAAAGAAACTGGGATTTCAGATCTGATCTGTTAATGAGTCAGATCTTCCAGCTTCAGCTACCAATTGTATAGTATCATTTTTGTCAGTGTTTCTTTTTAAGCTTGTTTGGCTTTTGTTCAATAAGATTAAAATGGCCATCTGGTTTACTTCTCTTCTGATGTTTAGTAAATACTGTAGAAATGGCTCGGGGCAAGCAAAGGATGCGAATTGCTGATTGAGGTTGGAATGGGCAGCTGAAGCTTGGTTAGGATTGATCTATGTGGCAGAAGTGCACCATTTGGAAAAGGCTGTGCAAACCACTCAATAACACAGTTTGTTGCAAACATTTGCTATGAATATGTACTGTGTGCCTATTCTCGAAAAAATGATCACTTGAGATATTTTAGATTGGAGGTGAGGCTCTAAGGACATAGCAGCTATTTAAATTGGATTTCTCTCTGTTTAATAAAGATTTCACAATTGTTGCAAGTCACATTCATTTTCAAGAACTGGTGAAAATTGGCCAGATTTTCTAATAGCGATGTGCAGGAAAATCAGCAACATAAACAGCGCCTTGTCCACAAAATGCACCTTAGGGTGTAGAGTGCATCTCTTGCTGGGAATCCAAACAAACTTGATGTACTTGAGTCTGACATTGTCTCAGAGCAGAGTTTTTGCAGTTCAATGTGACATACATGCTGTTTCGTGCACAATACACACTTTACATCCTAAGATACCTTTTCCACTGTAAGGCACAATTTTACCATATGGATTTCCATTTCAACTTCATGGATGGCAAATAAATTGATCCATATCAATGGTTTTACAAAGTCAGGTTGACACCCGTTTCAGAAAACTTTGAACAGGCAGCAGTTGCCCTATAGCTTCACCAATTGAAACCCACAATATATTTTAGATTAATTAGAAACATTTGCAGTGGGAGTTATAATGTCATCATGTCATCATATACATTATTATATACTCTTTCACTTTATGTTATCAGCTTGGTCAAGTTCTTAAATAATAAATAATAATAAACAACACTTCCATCTAACATAACCTTATCACTTCATTGAAACGTCTCAAAGGGCTTCACAGGATTTTACTCTAAGTAATAATAATAATCTTTGCATTTGATATAGCGTCCTATCACGTCTTCAAGATGTCTCAAAATCCTTCACAGAATATACTGTAAAGTTAATTGACTGTATATTTTGGGTAGTAATTGTGCACTTGAGGCTGAAGGCAGCAGCCAATTTGCTCACATTTGTGTCCGACAAATATCCATGAAATGAGTGATAAATATAATTGTAGGTGTCCGTTGGCCAGGATTCAAAGAGAAACTCCTTACTCTTTGTGAGTAGCCCCATAGGATCTTTAATATCCACCTGAATAGGCAGACAGGACCTCATTTTAATGTCTCACCTAAAGGACGGGACCTGTGACAATGCAACAGCCCCACCCCATCCACACCCGTCAGTTTATTTTATCAGATAAGACTGAGGTTCTGTCTACCTGTTTAGATGGAAGTGAAGATAAAAAGAGATTCAGCGAATAACTGCTTCAGACTGACCACAGTCTCCTAGGAGTTTCAATTGATCTGAGTCATTGACTGAATTTTACAATTCACAGTGATATATCAGTCAAGCGTGAAACTAGCAAACTGAAACAGAGTCAGAACAGAGGTTCTTGATAACTAGGATGAGATTGCATGATAACCCTTCTGCATTTAAGTGAAGACTTCAAAGTGCAGTCATCAACATACAATGAAAACTAATCACCTTATGCCTACAACTAGTATCGACCACAAATTGTAAGGCTCCCCTGGCAGCTCGGTTGGTAATATTCACTGCCCAGGGTGGAACCAAGTCATAAAATTCCAGGTTCATTTTCTGGTTAGATGTTCACATCTGCGTGTCAGTCAGTCAGTCAGTCAGTCAGTAAGAACACTACAATTGATCTCATTGTCGCTGAGGTGATAGGTAGGGTTCCTATTCCTAACTGCCAGCTTCTGCTGAAAAATGCATCTGTGTGGCCAAATAAGGGCTGAAATTTTTGTGGTAGGTTTGTAGTCTTAAAATACAAGATCATGTGAAATTTTTAAACACATATTGAAAACGGTTTTGAAATCAAAGTTAATTTGAAAGCTTTGGGGTGTTAAAAAAAAGTGCAGATAAACACCTTCTAAATTAAGGCAACGTTTAAGAATATTCAAAGCTTAAGATGCACAATCATAGATTTTAAGACACTGAAAGAAATTTCAGGCCTCAAGTGATTGCAGGATGAGACTAGGTTCCTCTCTCTCTTTCTCTCTACAGAGGGCGACTCCATTATTAAGCAGCTGCCTTAGACTCAAGTTCACTTAGAAAGGGGGTTGACTGTAGACCTACGGTTACTGGATGTGTATTACATACACCTTGGAATCCAGACAACCCTCACCGAAAGCTGGAGTAATGTCAACGGCAACCTGACAACCAGAAGTGGGTCTGGTGGCTACATTTCTTCATTGGACCCATTATAATTTTTTGTTTCATTTCTTTCACAGCTTACAAACGTCCAACTTGTCAATTATCTTATACAATCTTAAACACCTCCTAATACGTCTCCTCTTCATTTTCTCATCTCCACAGAGAAAAGCTCCAACCTGTCCAATTGTTATTGAAGTGTGGACCAAAGCCCCAAGATGAAAGTTGACAAATGATGTTCTACGCAGGTAGTATTTAAATAAATCTGAAACAGAACATTTAACATCCTAATAATTCAGTCAGACTACCATTACCTTTTGGAACAGCCTGCACATGTCTGGCTCCTTTGCTCAGTTTAACATCCAGATACATTGTTGGAGTGCGTGTGTAGATCTTTGACTGAGCAACATAAAAGAAAAGAAGATATTTTGCAATGAAAATTAGGAAACATTTGTAAGCTTAGTGTACGATTAGGCAAAATTAATATTCTAATGTTTTGGTCATCACAATTACTAATATTGGAAAAATAAAATAATAAAATAATAAAATAGAATAAAATGTTTACCCAAAATAACATATTAATTTCGGAATAACCATCAGCATGCATAGCAGAGCAAATAAAAAACAAGTTCCCAACTATCCATGGAATAAAATGTTTACACAAAATAAAATATTAAAAATGGGATATTTTGTTTCATGTACTAATAACTGGAGTAAATTATTCAGTAGATTAGTTGCTACTTTAAACATGTTTACAATATGACAAACCAAAGACCACATCAAAGCGGAAAAACTAAAAGCAACGTTCCTTCAAACGTATCAGTCAATTTGTGACCAGATGAACCAGGTCAGAGCATCGGGTGAAAGTCTTGAAAAAATCTCAGAGCATCAGACACTGGAAATAAATGTAACCGAGATGAAAAACAGCAAAGGATTTCTCTAACATGTTCACAGTGCAATCAATGGATCTAGAATACAGAGAATGGGTACAGGGCAATTGGCTCCTCTGCTATTTTATTTATGGTCCCGCTTTATTTTTCTCATCCCATTTTATCTTGGGAAGTAAGGATAATATCTCCATTACCCTTCCTTCCCAAATATGTCGCTCCCTTTTAAATTCTTCAATAGATTCTGCATCTATGAGCTTCTGGGAATGTATAGTCCACATCACATCCCATTGTGTGAAGAAATGCTTTCTGGAATCACTTTTATAAACAGCTTATCTCTCATTTTAAGAAGTGAGTATCAAAGATTCACTAAATATTCAGTGAATCAAAACCACAACAAATGAATCACAAATATTACATATTAATTGGCACCAATGCAAAGTCAACCAGAATCAACACCATATGTGTCCCACATACTAAACAACACAAGCCACACAAACCTCAATCATTCCACTGTCATGTACTCAACATTTCCAGTTTGAGTACCCTCCAAATCAGCTTCCAGGCTGGGCTGAGATGCTGCCCTTGGGATAGATTAACAAATAAACATAGATACTATAGAATGAATGCAGACTGATACAGAATGCAGAGTGCCACATTAGGCCAACGGGCCATTCATCACAACAATTAAAATAATAATAGTTACTCTGGTTAACTATGAGTGTCTTTGTCATAATAATAGACCTGGGTTGGATTCCCAGCAGGGCAAAACCTTGGGCAAGTTTCCTTACTCTACACGCCTGATAATAAGCCCTCAAGAAAAAAAATAAAATAAAATTGGTCACTTCAATCGACGACTGTTTGTGGGACACTGCTATGTGCAATTGGCTGCTGCGTTTGCCCATAAATATACAGTCAATTCACTTTACAGTATATTCTGTGAAGCGCTTTGAGACATCTACAAGACATGAAAAGTGCTATATCAAATGCAAGGATTATTATTCGTGGTATAAAGGAAAACTGAATTGAAATGAAGATTTTATAGCAGGTTAAAACAGTACATTGGAGGCATTACAACAACAACAACAAGATTCCATTTATAGAGCGCCTTTCACGTCGGGAGGACGTCCCAAGGCGCTGGACAGTTGGGTCAGGACCCGAGCAGGGGGAAATGGTCAGGGTGAGGGGAGGGAGGGAGCGAGGAGGGGGTAGAGAGTCGAGAGGGGAGCTGAAGGCACGGTCAAAGAGAAAGGTCTTGAGACCGGCCTTGAAGGAGGAAAGGGAGGAAGCAAGGCGAAGGCACTGGGGGATAGAGTTCCAGAGCCTAGGGGCTGAGAGACTGAAGGCCCGGCCACCGATGGTAGAGTGGTTGGGGCGGGGGATGTGGAGCAGACCGGACCCAGAGGAACGGAGGGTACGGGCAGGTAAGTAGGGAGATAGTAGGTCAGAGAGGTAGGAGGGAGCAATGCCGTGAATAGCCTTGTAGGTGTAGATGAGGATTTTGAATTACTCCCAACCTATAAAATCTTACTACATTAAAAAGGTCCAGCACACAGCAATCTCTTCTGTGAAGCAAGCAATAGCAGTGATTGATTTCTGGATGACCATCATTTTGGTATTAACCACATTAGCTGGAAGTCCTTAAAGCTGTATTGGGTTGTAGTGAATTGCTGGTCTCAGCCAGGCAGCAGAACAGATGCTATATTTGACTCTTTCTTTGGGTTACAGGGAGGAAAACAATCAGCTGATGTTCTAACTTTGTACTTTTATCATGTAATCCCTGCTCAAGCGGATGTGAATGCGTGTGTGGATATTGGATGAAAATCGGGATCAATCCCAACGATTGAATTAGGCTGTCAACTCGCACTGTCAAAGATCACACAAAAAAATGGACACTTTGGGCAGGGTACCAGAGAGTGAGACTTGTGAAACAAATTCCTACATGAGAGAAAGGAAATTGGCAGAGAGAATAGTTATTTTGGATACTAATTGTGCATTTCTAGCAATTTCCTGTGTTCAATTTTATTTCATAACTAGGTGTGGACTGAGAACTACAGTATTCTGAAGACATTTGATCTCAAACTGATGAGACAGCAGCTCCCAGATCAAACCGACGCAGCTCAAGCTGGGAGTAACAGCAACAATTTGTATTTATAGAGTTCCTTTTACATCGGCAGGACATCCCAAGGTGCAATTAAGGGTTTGCACCTGAGCTGGGAGTTGGGATTAAAAGGGTTGCAGGGCAAGGCGGGTGGTGGTAGGAGGATGATCGATAAAACAGTGCAGAGAGAAGTGAACCGATGCTGAGCACGGATGTGCTTTATGATTTTTTTTCACTTGTACCAATGTTACCAAATAATAATCAGAACATTCTCATATTCTGTGCCCATACTAAGCCCAAACAATAACTTGCACGCTTCATACTGATTTATTCATCCTGATCTGTGACACATAAAACCAAATGTCGATGCCAGCATTCATTAAGACAGAACAGTTGCTTCTCAAAGGCCTATCTGGAATGAATCACAATTATTTGTTTCCTTCTTGTTCCACACGTGATTTCAGCTTGTGGTTTAAATATGGGGGGGTGGGGGGTGGTGAGGAAGAGATATATTTTCACTCTCCTACCACAGATTTCTCACATTTCTCTGAATCATCAGGACAGTTTGTAGAAAATAAGTTACTCCAAATGGTAACTATAATGGGCTATTATGTTACACTCCAGTGGCATACGTATGACATTGATCTAAAGGCACTGGCAGTTCTTGTTATATCACATCTTGCCAGTTTTACATTACATCCACACATCTGGAAAGGGCAAAAACATGGGCATAATGGCAATATGATGTTCTGAGCATTTGTGCATCCATACCCCATGTTCAAAACCATTATAAATTTATTTCCACAATCTCTACTACTAAAGTCAGTATATTTGTTCCTGAGGTAAAGCTGTACTTAACCAATCTGAACTGCTGCATTTTTCCCCAGCCAATTGTACAGGTTTCCAAATATAATTTCCCTTAAGCTAAATCTGCAAAACATTATCCATCCACAAACCAGTCGGAAATTTCTATCAACACATTGTTACAAGATGTACTGCAGTGCCTGGAACCCCACTGTTTAAAACGTTTAAAGTAACGTTAACTGCTAAGTTTTCTTCTACTGTAATTTAAGGAATAAAAACGTGAGAATTCCCATCTCTTGCAAGTCCATATTGCAGATGTAGTGCAATGATTAGAATATGTATATTTTTAATGTAGTCATATCAGTTAGACAGTCCTAGTATAAAACAAAGATTATTCTTATGAAATAAGGACTTATCTTGTCAGTATCAAATTTAAGAACCTACAATTCTGAACTGTGATTTATTCACAAACCAATTGCCAATCATGGAATGCCACAAAAGTCAATAAAACTCTCCTGCTGTACACAAACATCTAGAATAAGGCACCAGACATCACATTCAGACTGTTTAGCAAGATGTTCTATGTCACAAGCCACTGACATTTCTTTTAATAGTAAAGTTTCTGGAATATTGCGTTTTTGTGGAGTCCTGTAGCTCAGTGGTTAGAGCACTCGCTTTGCAAGTGAGAGACCCGAGTTCAATTCCAGGCAGGGCAAAACCTTGGGCAAGTTTCCTTACTCCACACAGAGCCTAATAATAATCCCTCCAAAAACCCAAAACAATAATGAATTGGTCATTTTCAATCTACGACTGTTTGTGGGACATTGCTGTGCGCAATTGGCTGCCGCGTTCGCCCACAAATATACAGTCAATTCACTTTACAGTGTGTTCTGTGAAGTGCTTTGGGACGTCCTCCCGATGTGAAAAGCGCTATATCAAATGCAAGGATTATTATTATTATTTTACTCGGTTTATTTGGATTTACTTTACAATCTTTCAATTTCTTCCTAATAAGACATTTACTGTTTCATTGTTAGTTCTTCCACACACAAAGTGTTATGCAGGCAGATGAATTGGTATTTTATACCAGCACAATGTAAAACAAAGTCTCTCTACAACATCCATTGGTTAGTATCAGCACTGGCTCTGCCACTGTCTACCGCAGGCCGCCGAAACCCTCATACACGCTTTCATTACATCCAGGCTTGACTATGCAAACTCACTGCTTGTCGGCCTCCCCAACTCCTTCCTCCATGGGCTGCAGATCATGCAGAACTCTGCAGCCCGTATCCTCTCCCGCACTAGCCTCTGCAACCCTATTACCGCCATCCTTGCCCAACTCCACTGGCTCCCATCACACAGAGGATACAGTTCAAGATCCTAGTCCTCATGTTCAAAGCCCTCCACGGTCTTGCTCCCCCCTACCTCCTAATCCCTTATCATTCTGCTCGTTCCCACCACTCAGCGGGCTCTGGCCTGCTTCACGTCCCCCGCCTTGCTCGCCCTATTGGTGGGCGGGCCTTCTGCCACTCTGTCCCCACCCTCTGGAACTCCATCCCGCAGTCCCTCCACCTCACTTGCCTCCTTCAAGACCCACTCAAGACCCT